GGTGGCAGTGTTTTCACAACGACATCTAACAGTACCAGCATCAGGATCACAGGACAGGACATTGAGAGTGATTGTCCCATCAGAGCACAGTATGGTATTTCCAGGCTTCAAGTGGACAGGCAGTTTCTTGTAACTCATCGATATCATCTCCGGGTCCCCCTTAATATCATAATCAGTAGTTATGGTGATTTCTTGTCCTTCTTTAAGTTGAATAGGTTTTCCATCTTTCAGAAAACCAGTCCGAATCTCAGGTCCCTGCAGAAATACAGCATATAGCAGATGTACACGGAATGTTAATGATTTATTGAATAAGAAATCCATCATCATAAGAGAAACAGAACTTTACAATGACAAGAACAAGATATTCTCCTCAACAAGATATTTACAGGGGAAAAACACAAAGCTGTACAACAACTGCATTAAAATGTAAAACTAGAGCATAAACTGGTCATGAGAAGTGCGAAAAATTTAAGCATTTAATAGCAACCGGATACAATACACTTGTCAGAAAATTCATTCAAGAAGGCCAAAGGCACTTTGAAATTGTGTCCACAAGCTAATAGCTATATATGACACTATAAATGGAAACAACAAACTTAACACTTACCACCATTCCATCACCAAAATCATTGATCACTTAAAAGAAATTAGAGCAGGCAATGAATCTAGACATGGGAGAATCATGTCTGCACGAATAGTGAGAAGTGTTAAACTTTATGCATAACTAATTTTATACGTTAAGTAGTGTCAGGGTGAGCATTAACAAACTAGGCTTTGAATGATTTCAATTTTGAGCATTTTGGATGAATCTGAATTGGAAGTGAATCAATCTGAGCTTGAAAACACTTTATCTAAAAGGCATATTTGTAGAGAAAAATAGTACACATTACACAATTCCCTACCCTAGAGCATAAGATATAATCTTTCTCCTTGAATCTCACGTGCTGGAAAACATTCATATCAACCACAATTTTAAAGCAATTTAAAGCTAAAAAATTGATTTGAAACACCAAAAATATCATTTTAATTGTTTAGAATCGCATTTCTTTCTAGAAATGCCCCCACCAAATTTCCATAAAAGCTATAAAAAGGTTGAGCTTAGAAGTGTCCCCAAATGCATAATAAATGCACTTCTTCAATAGTGAATGAAGAAAGGAAGTATGATCGGCAACGAAAAAAGGAAATGAAGAATTCAAAGAGGGCACACAGTAGTATAACAGAAAAATTGAACCGATGAAAAGTAACGGCGAAACGACCTTAGTGTCGAGCATGACAGCACAGAGTATTCCAGTGTTGTGCATAGCAATTTTGAGATTGTTGAGGGTTTCCTGATGATATTCGTGGCTGCCATGAGAGAAGTTGAAACGAGCAACGTTCATCCCTGCCCTCAGAAGCTTCTCGGTCATCTCTACGGATCGGGAAGCAGGACCCAACGTACACACAATTTTGGTCTTTGGAACACGCCCGTCATTGGGTAGCTCCTTCAAGATCCCTTCGATGTCTATGTTCGCCATTCTAACTCACTCCTTGACTGCTACTCCTTTCTCTGCAGATGCAGATCAATGGATATGTCACATGAAACTGAAATAAACAAAACCAAAAATCAGACACGACAGCGGAAGCACAAACAAACCTTAGATTGGGACAACACCAGCCTCGGTCTGAGTCGGAAGGGTTAGGTTGAGAGGGTCTTAATCTCACGCTCTATAGTATCTATTTATTTATTTATTTTTGCACAATAGAAACCTATGTTTTTTTGTCTTCCAAACAGCACCCAACACGCCTTACGGGATTTTTATGTTTGTTGAATTTAAAAGTCGCCACGAGTCCACCACTTTCCCCAACTCCCACAGAATCACAGAAAGAGAAGCACTTTTGCGCCTTTCCACAACTGAATTCTGCGTTTTTATTTTCCAAAATTAAGTTTGTATTTATTAATAGTTATGATGAAGGTACAGCAGTAGATACCGCGGTTATTTATTAAAGTGCTTGTAACCTTTTTTTTTAATCACAATTTTATGCAAAGAATATATATATATATATATATATATATATATATATATATATATGTATGTGTGTGTGTGTTATAATATGCATTAATAAGACAGTATTAGAGCTTGGGGCGTGGTTTTAGCTTTCAGATCCTAAGCCCAACGACACTGTGGGCTGGGCCCACTGATTTGGACTCTGAAGATTAAACGGCGACGTCTCCTTCGGTGTGCGCCCCACGGTTTTGCGGGTAGTCTCAAGATGGTATTTTAGAATAATCACTTTCTTTTGCTTTGGTCCAAATCAACAATCACTTTTTTCCTACTTACCAGTACAGTATCGCACTTAGTTGCTTTCTACTTACTTCCTTTTTCAACATCTTCCTTTTTCAACTATCACTTCTATTTTCATGGGAAAAAAAGGAAGCTCTACTTTATATATTGTAAATGTCGATAGATGATGGCAAATTATAAATGTTTAATAAAATATTCTAATATATATAATTAAATGATTTTCAAGTCAATTGTAAAAATTAGAAATGAAAAAAAAACTTGCACCTACATATACTGCGGATAAAATTCGTTATGGGTAATTGATACTTGCGAATACTAGATACCTGTGAGTAACGGATAATATGTAATTTAATACCAGTTTATTAACATGTCGAATTTGGATATCATATCATTCGTATCCGCAAGTATTCGTTATCCGTTAAGAAAATAAAATTACATATTTATCCTTTATTAGGTTTAAGTTGTTGGAGGTTTTATTTTTTTCTTTTTGTCGTTGTGTTTATTTGCTTTCATTTTCTACTATATATGGGACTTTGAGGTTTAAGTTGTTGTTGATAGATGAGTCTCCTCATATCTGAGACACTGTATGTCAGCCAAAAACGGTATTGTTCTCTTTCAAGTACCTCTTTTTCCTTTTCCCACTTTCTTCAATCTTAGTTTCCTTTTCAAATTTGTTATCTGTGAGCTCATCGGTGGAGACGAGGTCACTACCATTCCCGCCGCCTGCCCGTCGAGACGATCTATCCATGGACAACGACAACCTTCGTCGTGAAAAGCCCACCAACCATAAGATATTCGACAAGGATGTGGCAACGCACTGCTCGCGTTCGAGCACTTGGCGGTGGTGACTCAAGACTTAGGCGTGTCCTCGACAAAGGTATATTTGTAAATATTTTCAGCACTTAAATGCTACCTTCTTATTGCATTTCAATCTCTAAACACCAAACACAACCAAACGGGCATTTGATAAGTCGGATCCAACAACAATTTCAAATTTCTGCAAGTTGCAAAGAATCAAGAGATAATACGATGGTATATTGAGTGCTATTTCTCTATTTAGAAGTTTAGGTGGTGGAAGAACTTCATATATTATTGGTAGGAAATTGACAATGGCCATAGTTGCAATGATTTTTCAAATGGGTTCACTAATAATGACTTTTGCTTCTTCATTTTCAATACTAATGGTTGGAAGATGTTTTTCTAGCACTGGAATAGGATTTGGAGCATTGGACCCTTCTTCAAAAGCCCAAAGCCTTTTGGACTGTCCATGTCCCATACTTCCTTCAAAATGCATTGTGGAAAGCTAAGATAATTTTTTAAAAACATAAAATAAATTTTTAAAAATATTTGCGGGTATCCAACGGGTATTCGTAGGTTGAAAAAATTCCACAAATTTTTTTATGTAGGTATCCAACGGATAGCGGGGCAGATGATGTGTACGATTTTTTATGCGGGTCGGGTACAGGGTATACACTATCCGTGTCTAACCTGACCCGTTGTCGTCTCTAATAAAACTCTTTCGATACCATAATTTTTTTTCTTCGAATTTATGTTTTCTAAATGATGTGTGTCATTTATACCTTCAACAATGAAAGATTTAATTCTGAACTATTATTTCAAACATAAACGCAAGTTATATTTTTTTTTGTTTTTATATCAAAAATAAACTTTTTATTTAATTAAAAAAATTGATAAAAGACAATGACAATGGTTGTTTATTTGATTGAAATTAAAGCAAACTATCATAAACGTAACATCTCATTTACATAATATAAATATAAATATTATGGAAGAGTCATCACATATTTAATAAGATAGAAAATATAAACCTTCATTATAGTCATCAAACTATTATATCTAAATTAGATCAAACTAATGTTTTTATACTTTTTTTTCTTTATTATAATCGAATAACATTATTTCAATAAAATAATATTTATTATTAAAAGACTTATTTAATAATTTGGTTTGTATATTTTAGTCATTGATTCATTTTGTTTTTTATGTTCATTTTATTCAATTGAGTTTATATTTTCTAAAAAATTCAATTAAATCTCTATTTTTGTAAAAGTAATTCAATGTGATTTCTTATATTAAATTAATACTCAAAGTGTCACATGGTCAAAATATGGACACATATAAAAATTATGAATATATTTTATCACGTGTCATAGTAAAAAAATTCTATAATATAAAATGATTTAAATTTTGACACGTAACAATTTTAAATTTTAATACATAACATTTTGAAATACCATTAGCCCCGTTTAATGAAAAAATCACATTAGACCTTTTTACCAAATTACTAATCAAACCTTATTAAAAATACAATATATTTAATATTCTTATGATCTAATTTAAATTATATAACAATAAATATTTAAAATATTTAACGCATAATAATTTTAAAATATACATTATTCCCTAAACTATAAATCTTCAAATACTGTTTGTTTAATCATTATTATTTTGTATCTTATATTTTACTATTTACAAATTTATATACAATAATAATTTTTTATTAAAATTATTTAAAAAATATGCCAACGGATCAAGGGACAAGCACGCTTAAGATAAATAAGATACGGTGAAAAAATGTTTATAAGGGGAAATTAAAAAGGAGTAATAAAACTCTAATTTTAATAAAAAATTTATTATCAGAATTACAAACCCTAGGCAAGAAAATATAGTATTATTTAAATAATTATAAAGAGCAGGGATATTATTAAGAGAAGAAAAAGGGAACGGTGGTTTAGGGTTTGGTGTCTGCCATGGCGAAGTTCAATGTGGTGCAGAAGCGAAGGAGAGCTCTCATAGCAGAGAAGAAGAGACAGCTTCACGGAGACCCTTCCACCGCCAAGCTGAAGATCAGGGAACAGCCCCATTCCATATCTGGAAAACGAAAGCGGAAGCTCTTCAAAAAATGGCGCCGGGTACTCCACACGCTTGCTTTTTCTATCCTTCACGCACTCAATTCTCACAATTTTCTTTTTCACTTTTCAGGAGCAAAAGGACGCCATACAGAATGGTTTGATAAGCATGGAAGATGTTCAAATGGCAGTTGCTGAAGGTACCTGCTATTCGTTTCATGGAATCATAAATTTTTGTATCATGATGTTTTGTGCTAATACGAGAAAACATGTTTGCTAATTTGTTTGATTTTGGGAGCAGGGGATAACAAAGATAAGCCTAAACCCCCAGTAATGGTTCGCTTGAAGAAGACTGTGAAAGTTAAAGGGCCCAAGCGCAAAGGTAAGTCCATCATACTTATAATTTCTTGTTCTATCTTGCACTAGATTCTGTATATCTATGGGTTAACTTTCTTTTTTTTTTCTAAAACTTGGGATACATTTGCACAAAGGTATATTATATGTTATATTATACACAACAAGAGCACTCCATTTATGAAACAGGAGTACAATAATGTACCAAACTACAAATTCCCAATTTCTTTCTAGGACTTTTAAAACCGATGTTTCACGAATACGTAATGCTAGTAAAAGATACCTAAATCTGCTACATACGAGCAGTGTTAATTCGATTTGATCATCAGTTATTTCCTCATAGGCTAACTCTTTACTTAATTTAGTTATACGAGGTGTAATGTGTGCAATGCATGGGCTATGCAGTATATTTGCACGGACTAGTTAAAGTTGAATAAGTAATTTAGGACACTTGTTTTGAATAAGTACATCTGTTTGAACACATGTTAATTTTGACAAAGGCTGTTGGCTATACTGACATTTTTTGGTCGAACTAGCTTCTCAATATATGCATTCACATTTTGCCAATTTGTAGTTCTCAGGGCATTATAAAATAGGAATGTAACTGAGGATATTAGGGCCTGTTTGGTTGATTAATGATTTCTAGGAGTGAAAAATTAGAAAATAAATGAAATTAGCATGTCCACAGGCTAAAATTAGTTTATGCCTGACCTAGTTTGTGGAATGATCCTTTAAAAACTTTCTTATCCACCTTTTGGGTTGAATTATCCTCTTGTTTAATTCCTAACAAACATTCTTATCCACCTTTACAAACTTATATTAAGGGTTTAATGTATTTCCTCTGTTGTTTGAGTTGATCCTAGATTAAGTCACGAGTTCATACATGTTTTCTCTGCCTTTGACTTTAGTCAGGTGGGGATTATAAGCACGAAACAGTGATGATTGAGGGATTAGCTAAGAGGATATTAGAGGGGAGGGTCAATCTGCTGTAGTCCAATAGCGATTTGCTGTATTTAGGATGGATTAAAGTTATGAAACATCTAACTCGCCGAAAGGCATAACCTAGTTTAACCTGATCATATCCGAAGTTGAAATTAAAATATATATTGAAGTAATGAATGGGGTTGTATTGGATCTGTATTTGTACACGGATCGCATATGTCTTGCCTGATGTTATGCCAGACTGCCAGGCTATGACTATTGTATCTACAATACTAGTGATGAGATGGTTGTATCGTATGTCAATCACATATGCTAACTGACAAGATGAAATCTATTTGATTACAATCGGAACTGGTTTTAGCTATAACTTAGATGATTGCATGCTAAACGAAGAATGCTGATAAGGTTTGTGAAATTGGAAAGTAGTGTAGAAATTATTGTGTTGTTGCGTGATACTTTTTAAAGTTCAATGTATTAAATATCAGTATTGTATAACTTTATGAAATTTTAAGAAATAACCTTAAAATTGTTTTTACTAAATATTATGCGTTTTAACTTTAATATTTGCGGTAACACTGTGCAGGGAAGAACAAAGGAAAGTCTGTTGTTCCTGCTGCTGATATTTCGGCTGATGCAATGATGGAGTAAATATGTCGTTTTAATGTCCTACAAACTTGGTAGGGGGAGCATAGAAGAGGCCAATGTGTGATAGTATCATTTGTAGCCATAATTTGTAGCCCTTGAGTGATTGATATGCTCTTCTTATACTCTCTTTTATTTAATGATCTTTAAAGATTAATGGAAATCGGATTAGCAATTTATGGAAAAGGAAAATGCTCCTACCCCTGACAGCATGACGTGCAAGGCAATCTAAAATCAAGTCTGATGTATATGGTTCTTAGATATTCAGAGTATTATGCAGTTTATGCGCTTATCAATAGAATTGACAAATGTCTGGTATTTTAAAATTTCCTTTTTAATGCAAAAAGGATTTTTATTTCAGCCAAATCAAACGATTTTTCTGTTGTGACGGGCAGCTTGCTGTGAGCACGAGACCCATCTTTTAATTAATAATTTTAATAAAATTATGCTAAAATAAATTACCTTCCGAAAGACACTAGCTTATTGCTGTTTAGATTTACACTGCATTATTAGAAACTATGATGTTATTTAACGTAATATAATAAGTATGTCTGGTGTCATGCTAAGGAGTTGATTTTTTAACCCAGAATTGTGATTGAGTTAAAACATTGGATGAAGTTTGTCATGGATAACTCTACTAATTCCATTTTGAAATACAAAAAAAAAAATGATCTCGGTCTAAAAAAATTTAGATCAAACACGATTTAAAATTATTTATATTTCAAGGCGCTTATATGATATGATATCAGGGATATTAGAGAAGATGGAATTTTACAGTGGTAAAACACGAAATGACCTGTGATTGTACTATGGCTAGGTGACAGAATCCGAGGGCCCAAGGAGTACTTTGTTTTAAAGAAAATGACAGTGGTTATGGTTGAGCGAGAGTGGTAATTGGTAGAGAGAGGACAGATAACAGGTAAGAGACGCTTGCAAAAAATGTTGCAGTGTGGTATAATTTTAAATGTCCTATAAATGTTGGTTATCGAGACTAATGTTGGCGATCTGTTTCTGAATGTTTGGTTGGTACTCTTAAATCGTACATTGCAATGCAGTTTTGAAGTGGTGGAAAAGTATTGTGGTTGGAGGTGTGGGTCCTCAAGTAAGATATTGTAATTGAAAGTTGATTCATCTTAAAGGGTGGCTGGCTGGCTGAGTGAAAGAGATGATGTGCGTAGAATGATTGATGTATTTTCTTAAATCTTACATTACATCTTTGCCTTTGCACACTTAGAGGAAAAGAAAAGAAGGGTTGAACTGTTTCTTCCTTCGTCCTTTTCCTTTTCTTGTCCCTTCTTTTTTCTATTTTATTTAAACAAAATTTCTGAAATTAACCGCACCCGTTGTTTTTCTCCGTAAAAGAATGAATAGAATTGGTGTAAATGGAGAAAAGAATGAGCGATAAATGTAGCAGTAGCAGCGTGAATTTCTCTCTCTCTTTCTCCAAATTTAAAATGGACAAAAATTGGGAGGCATGATCCGACGGTCCCGATTGGTTTTGATGGTTGTTATATTCATTTGAATGGAATTTCGTTCATTTTGTGTTTGTCACTGAGAATCGATTTTTCATCCTCTCTTCTCCTCTTCTCTCCTCTCTCTCGCACTCGCATTTCCAAAGGTACATCGCATTCTCAATCAATCAATCTTCCTCTTCAACCTCATTGTGTTCCTCTCGTTTAGATCTGTAGATCTGCAACTTTTCTTATATTTCTGCCTAACTAGCGATTGAATCGTTTGCAACGATGTGAGATATGCATATTGTTATGTTAGCTTCATGTATCTTTTTTTTTTTTTCAGCAGAGCAGATATTAGAAGATGGCAGACGCTGAGGATATTCAACCCCTTGTTTGTGATAATGGAACGGGAATGGTTAAGGTAGACGATGCGTCTCTGTTCGCTTCATGCTTCTCCACCTAATTCTTTAGCATTGACTTTTTCTTTTCCTTGCTTCCTTCCAATTCCTGTGTATCTTTTCAGGCGGGGTTTGCGGGAGATGATGCCCCACGTGCTGTCTTCCCCAGCATTGTTGGCCGTCCTCGCCACACTGGTGTGATGGTTGGCATGGGCCAGAAAGATGCGTATGTGGGTGACGAGGCTCAGTCTAAGCGAGGTATTCTCACTCTCAAGTACCCCATTGAGCATGGTATCGTCAGCAACTGGGATGATATGGAAAAGATTTGGCATCATACCTTCTACAATGAGCTTCGTGTCGCCCCAGAGGAACATCCCGTTCTCTTGACCGAGGCTCCTCTTAACCCTAAGGCTAATCGCGAGAAGATGACCCAAATCATGTTTGAGACTTTTAATGCCCCTGCCATGTATGTAGCCATTCAGGCTGTTCTTTCACTCTATGCCAGTGGTCGTACAACCGGTAAGACATCCTTTCAAATTATTTGGTTTTGTTAGGTCCAGGCCGTAGAATGAGAGGCAGCGTCATCTGGTTTACGAGCGAATGGATCTTTGTATGGAATTGTTTCAAAACTAACACTGTCCTCATCAACCACAGGAGGTGTCTGTTTTAGTCATCCGTTTCAGTTTTCCAATTTGATGATCTGTTTTCGCTCTTTTTCAGGTATTGTGTTGGATTCTGGGGATGGTGTCAGTCACACAGTCCCTATCTACGAGGGTTATGCCCTCCCTCATGCCATCCTTCGTCTTGATTTGGCTGGTCGTGATCTCACTGATTTTCTGATGAAGATTCTGACTGAACGTGGATATTCTTTTACCACCTCAGCAGAGCGCGAAATTGTGAGGGATATGAAGGAAAAGCTGGCTTACATAGCCCTGGACTATGAGCAGGAGCTTGAGACAGCCAAGACCAGCTCTGCAGTGGAGAAGAGCTATGAGTTGCCTGATGGGCAGGTTATCACCATTGGCGCTGAGCGTTTCAGGTGTCCCGAGGTCTTGTACCAACCATCCATGGTAGGAATGGAAGCAGCAGGCATTCACGAAACAACATACAACTCCATTATGAAATGTGATGTTGACATCAGGAAAGATCTGTACGGTAACATTGTACTTTCAGGAGGCACAACCATGTTCCCTGGCATTGCTGATAGAATGAGCAAGGAAATTTCTGCTTTGGCCCCCAGCAGCATGAAGATCAAGGTGGTTGCACCTCCTGAGAGAAAGTACAGTGTCTGGATCGGAGGTTCTATCCTGGCATCCCTGAGCACCTTCCAGCAGGTCTGTTCTTTATCAATATAATATATCCTTGAATTGTGCTGTTTGTTGCGTGGTTGCTAACGAGACCCAACAAACCTTGTTTTGAGTGCAGATGTGGATTGCAAAGGCAGAGTACGATGAGTCTGGACCATCAATTGTGCATAGAAAGTGCTTCTAAATTGTTTGATCAGTAGGGTTATTGAAGGGAAAGACGGCTGTTTTATTCCTCTGGAAGAAGTGCTGCCTGCTTGTAACCCTTTCATTCTATTCTAACTTTTTGTATCCGTTTACGTTATTCTCTGGAGTGATGATTTGGAGAAGGCGAGGAGTTTATTTTGTCAAAAATGGTGCATGCAATTTTCACTATTATTATATATTTGTATTTTTATTTTGTTTAGATTCACTGTGCGTCTGAATCAGCTGAAACTATCAAATGAACCACGCATTCATGTTCTTGATATACAAAATTATGATTCCGATTTTCAGCATTACATATTTTATAGCCGAGAGGGTAGCACTCGTATCATTATCATCGTTGTAATTGATGTTCATTGACAGGAAAATTCAGGGGCTATCTTTTTTGCTTTCCAATTCTCTACCCAATGAATACAAGTACAACTTCTGAAGCTTTTTCTTGTGCATCCCTCATTTCTTTGCGTAACGCCATAATTTTTAAAATGACATTTTTAAAAATAACATTTTACCTCATAAACACAAAATGTATCGTAGAACAATTTTTGTCAAATAGGATTTTTGAAACTTATTATATCTTTTCGTATGAATTTTATAGAACATGAAAAACTTTTTTTGAACTTTATTTTCAAAACCATCTTTTTTCCATAGTGATGATAACAGTAGTATGGTGCAGTAAGGAATTTTAATGAGGTATAGGGTACAGTTAGTAATAAATTGGAAGAAAAAGTCCTTCTCTAATCCAAGACCATCTCGAGCGCCCTGTTCCTATAAGTAACAAATTGGTATTTTTCACTTTATACAGTAGTTTGGTTATCTCATAATTTGGTACAGTAATTGGTATTTAACTTTTTGAAGTTTTGCTTCAATGAATAGTTTTTAGAAGTATTCATATTTTATAACTTTTCATTTACTATATATTTGGAAACAATTTTGTTAAAATTTAAAAAACTTTCATTGTCGTAATATATGTTTAAGATTGACCTTAAAACACGTAGATCCTACTAAATCATGATATACATTTACACAAGAACTAAAGGACCTTACTACAAATTTAAAATCTTGTGGAAGATTATGATCCACTTACAATTTTTTTTAAGTTTAGAAACTTTATTTTTTAAGATATTCAGATCAATAAAAGAATCCATTTCAATTTTGTCTTGTTACACGAACTCTAAATTCAAATAAGAACAAGTGGAGGTAATTATTTGATTTTAATAATTTGAATAAGAATTTATTTAATTCAGTACTTTACCTATGAGTATATATTGGAGTTCAATAAACTTTATTGGATAGGTCATTTATTTATTTTTTTAAAAACACACCTCTTAACTTACTCAATTTCGTTTTGGTTTGTATGAAGTTAAGAAAATAATTTTTTCATTAGATTTGATTTGATTTTACTGAATTACTAATACGAATCTATGTCACATTTTGTGAATTAATCCTTTCGTAAGAATAACTAAACTAAATTGTTGATGTATTACAATGATCACAATATCATTAAAATATAACATGTATAAATAATTGTCAACATATTACAGTAATTTATTTTTATATGATTTAAATATTTTGCAGTAATTTTTTTTTTGGATATGAGATTTAAAAGAAATAAACTTCTAAATATTTATGAAAAAACACTTAAAATTATGAAATTTAAAAATTCGTAAAAGAAACTACAATTTTAAATTCTTTCTTTGATACGTTACTTGTATATCTCTTATTATTATTGTATGCATGTCAAAGGCCTCAATTTAAATTCAGAGTCATTTATTGAATCAAAACAATTTCGTGTAACTTTTTTTTTTTGATATAATTGATGTAACACTCTTTTTGTACTAAATGTCACGTTCATCATTGTATTAATATGTTTATGATCCTCTTTAATACAAATTTTCAAAATAATTTTACAATACAATATATTGTCTAGAGGAATATAAACTATATATACATATACAAAAAATTTTATAAAGAAAACAACTCTAAAGTCTCTAATAAGAGAATAATTCCACTTAATCACACACACAAAAACATAAACATAAATACACACAGACACACATACACACAGACACACAAACATAAATACACAGACAAACATACAAACATAAATACACAGACAGACACACAAACACATGCACACACATAGACACGCATAGACACACACATACACACAAACACACAGACACAAACATATACACGTACAAACACCCAATGACACACACAGACACACAAACACATAGACACAGACATACACACACACATAGACACACAAATATACACACACACATAGACACACAAACATAGAGAAACACACAAACACACACACACATACACAAACACATAGACACAAATAGACACTCAAAAACACAAACACAGACACACAAACACACAAACACACACATGCACACACAAAGGCACACACACATACATTCAATTTAAAATTTACCTTCAATACAACATTTGACTCAATTGATATATTTTGATTCATCAAACCAACTAGAATCAATAACTAATCAACCAACATGATCACATCTCATTACAAACATGCAATTCACTCAACAAAGAATAAACTAATCTCACAAATGAAAAGAAAAACAACTAGTTTCCTTTACTTGGACTTAAGTTTTTTCTCTATCAAGCTCTGCGACTCAAACTCTCACAATATCTTATATCTACACAAAGACAAACTCAAATAAGGGATCTGAACACATCCTAGTAATCACATTGACACATAGACATTTATTTTGAACCCACAAGAGTCATGTATAAGTATATTAGCGAGGTGACTCAAAAAAGATAGTAAATTACCTTATTTTGATTTGGAGTACTTATGGTTTACTCTAATCTTCAAATTGATGAATAAATTGGTTAATCATATAGAGAGAATAAAAAAAATGTTTAGAAAGATAATAACTTTTATAATATATAAAAGTTGATTTCTTATTTATATCTTTATTTTTAAATAATAAAATAATTAATTTTCACTCATATCTACTCCTCCTACCCTTAAGTATTTTGCAAATCCTTATATTAGGATCATATACATGTTGTGATAATAACTTAATAGAATAAAATGTTCATATTGTGACTTTTTACTATATTAAATAAGTAGTTTAATATGTTATTTTATATAAATAAATTATTTCACTATTTATTAATTACACACCATATTAAATCAAATAAATTATTTACTATTTTCATTAATATAATTAGAATAATTAATAATATTAACAGATTACCTATTTTATTTTATTTTTGTCAAAAACTGGCACTTAATTAAATGTATATTTTTATAAAAATATAAAATTAATTGGTTTTTTAAAATGATCAAGGAAGTAGTAACATATATTTAAAAACTAAAGAATTTAACAATAAAATACTCATCATTCTGTTAAAATCTATATTGATAATAAAAACACATTAATAAGTGATACTATTATGACTTAATTATGATAAATTGTGACAAATTTAGGAAGATATTAATTAGTAAGACTAATTTAAATTTCTGATGAGAAAATAATACAATGGAAAATCAACTAAACTAATTATTATAGAGGGAGATATATGGTAAATGTTTTGACACTTTAAGTAATTATTTAGAGTAACATTAATTATATTTTTATTAGTTATAGTTATTAATTATTAACAATGTAAATTGTTTTTAGGTGGAGAGCATGAAGAAATATTGAGAAAAAAGAGAAAAGAAATTGTAGTGTTTATATATATATATATAAAAGACATTGTTGAGAGAAAGAGAGGGAGAGAGAGAGTGAAGGTGAAGATGGTGAGCGAGTGTGGGAAGCAAAGACATGGTGGTGAGGGGAAGAGGAAGAATAACCAAACATTTTCGGAGAAAACAAAGGAAACTTTGTCCAAAATCAAGCGACAATGCTCTCGCCCACGCGCCGGAAATGAACAGATGCTCTGCACCATCCACGACAACACATCGCCTGGCTACCAGTGGCTACTTCCTGGTTGGGTGGCGGAAGAACGCCACATGTTGTCTGGCAGGGTCTACAGGGTAATCTTTTTTTTTCTCCTTCTTCATCTTTTCATGTATTGTTTTGTAAGTGTGCATGCACATCGTTATTTGATTTGCTTTCACTGCTATATGTTCTTGTTGTTTAGTGAGTATGTTGTTTTCTGTTGTGATTCTTACAAATTCTTATAACTGCTATTTTGAAATGAATTTGCAGTACTACTATGATAGGGAAGGGCGTCAATACAGAAGCCAGAGCGAGGTTATAGCTTTGTGGGAGAAATTCGGAGTGGTTCTCATTGACAACTAATCATTCTATAACTATACACCTAAGGTATATATTATATATATATATATATAGATATATCTATACATATAACATGTATATTACTGAATTGACAGTTCTTTCTTGCTTTCTACAGGACTACTTTTTGGATATTGAAACTCTTTTGAGATTAAAGTTCAAACATCATACGTACACATGTTATGTTATGTAATATCTAGTAGGAACTGTGTTCAATGAAGATCAAATAACTACTTGTTAATGTTATGTTTGGTTTACTTAAGATTGCTTCATTAGGGTTAGATTTGATCAATATGTTATTGTTTTTGTTCAAAATTAAATACTATTGGATGTAAGTTTTCTCTTTAGAGAGAAAAGAGAAGGGAAATTATGCAGAAAAGTGTTTCCATAAATTAAGCATTCTGTCATTATAGTAAATTATTATGTGATTATGCAGTGCATACACAGAAACTGTAAAGTCAAAAGCTAGACCAATTAACTGGGATATATATCATTCTACATTTGTGGGTGTACTGTTTTAAATGGTGGGATCATCACATGAGATTACAATAATAAAAAAGACAGAACATTTTAAAAGGAATTGTTTTGAGATAATGCACTGGTCCTTTTGTTTATAATTAAGAACAGTAAAAGCTAAGTTTGACGGATGTGTTTTGCAATAAAGCCAAAATTTAGGGACGTGTGTGTTCTAAGTTGTTATCAATGGGTGAGCCTTGTCATTAATAATTAATTTTCTTGGTCACGGGAATTGTTTTTAGTCTTAGCAACTTACTCTCCTCTTTTCTCAAAATATTATGGAAAAATATTGTATTAGACTCCCTTTTAATCTACTCTACATATACTTCACAATTGCTTTTATAATAAAATATAATGTTTAATGTAATAAAAATAAAATATTACAATAGAACAATATTGCATAAAA